GTAATAAGGAAGGAAGGAATAAAAATACTCAAGAGTACTAGTAATGTATTTTTTGGGGATTATAAATGCTATTTTCAATTGTCTATTATAATATCTGTCACGTTATATACTGTGCAACGTCTCATGTTTGTTACTTATATTATCATGATATTGTAAATGCCCCCTGTGGGAACCTGATTGGAATAATAAAATATTTGATTTGATTTGATTTGATATAATTGCCAATGAGACAACTATCCACCAAGGTTCAATAAAAGTTGATATAAGCAATTAAATGTAACCGTAAGTCCTTCAACAGTAAGAAAAACCCATACCATATAGTAGGCTATAAAAAGCCCAAACCTGAAAAATGTGAAACAATTTGGATGAGAAAACTAACGGCCTAACTTTTAACAAAAAAATTAACGAAAAACAAACATGACAGACAAGAACCAACGACAACCACTGTACTACCCAGGCTCCTGACTTGAGACAGGCACATACAGAATGTGGTCCAATATCCAAAATCTAAATATTAGTACAAGGTTAGATTCAGGACCAAGAATTTAATCTACTAGTATTTATCAATGGACAATAACAGCTACGTTTGTCAAGGGGTTAGCTTCATAAAAAAATTATTATATATATATAGCATTCTGAAAATCAATTTATATAGAATAAAAACAAACCTACCACCAAGTTCTCAAAATTCTTTAGAAAGGAAATGAAAAAAAAGACAATTAACAAAATATCATTCATCATTATATTGAATACAATATCTAAAATTCAAAAAACTTAGTACCTTTAATTATTTTTTAAAAATATCTAATATTGAATAGAAAATATCAAACTATACTTATACATAATTTCTTATATATAATTAAAATTTAATGCGGAATCTATTTTTAACTGTGAATCTACTTAAACTTTCTATTAACTGTGTAATGCAACTCTGAATTTTGATTGTGATCAAATATTTGACATATCATAGGTTTCTGACACAGAATGAATGTGGTCTAAGAACTTAAAAAAATAAAATTGGATATTTGCCTATCATGATCCAAAACTTAACATACAAATACATGTGTAGATTAAGCGATTAAAAGACCCCTTGAATTCATTTTTTGTTAAAATCAAACTAAAATTGATTATGAACACGTTGGAACTGATGTGAACCAATTGAAAACCGGGCCGAAAATCCAATATCAAATTTCACGTTTATATTCACCATTGCAAAGAACATTAATAGTCTCTTTTTTTTGTTAAAATCAAGCAAAGTTTAAGTTTTGACCCTTTGGACATTCATGTGGACCAAATTGAAAACGGACCCCAAAAATAAGAATCTATAAATACACGGTTAGATTATGCATATAAAAAAACCTCAAGAATTTAAGACTTTGAATTAAACCCCTTTGAAATTGGTCAAGAAATGAGCAAGTATGCAAAGTATAATAAAAGTATTGTTTTGAGCCCTTTTCCTAAAACGATTCATTTTAGCCTTATACTTAAGTTATTGTCCGGAAACCAGAAAATCTTTTTTGTTGTCCGTAATTCTTGAAAGTTTTGGGTCATAACCCCTAAAATCAGTCACAACATTCCTCATGAAGTATGGAACCATGTGGTACAAATTCATAGAGATTCATACACTTAAAATTAAGTTATTGTCCCGAAACAAGAAAAACGCTTGTTATTTGTCCTTAATTCCTACAAAGATGGGACAATAACCCTCAAAATTAATTCCAGCCTTCCTTATGTGGTACAAAACCTTGTGGTACAATTTCATAAAGATCCATACACTTACATGTATACTCAAGTTATTATTTCCACTTGGAAACCAAATGAAGACGACAACAAACGTCATACCATTATACGACCGCATAATCACTCTTTTATGCAAGGCTGTGCCTGCGGTGGTAACAATGGATGGCTTTTTAATGTCCAGTGGCAAAATTAAATGCATATTCAGGACGATATCATGTTATTTATATATGAATTATTAATCTGCTTTGTATTAGACCGACACACTGAGCCTGACGTGCTAGTTCGCGATGCTATAGGTCACAAGAAGACATGTCATCCTACACGGATTCATTATTTTGACTGACTTCGAGGCAACCAGTCTCTGATTTTACTTATTAATGCCACGTGCTTAAAGAGAAGCAGCAAAACCCAATTTTAAAATCTTTGGTTTGACCAGACCTAAGTTCCAATACTGCAAATCTCCACATTACAGTTTGCAACACTATACAATGTCATTGGGTTCCAAAAAAAATGTTTAGAAAATTATGTCAATGTGTTTTCCCATAGGATTCCCATCTTAAAAGAGTTGATGCATTGAAGGCCAAATAAATTTGCATATATCACATTCTTGAAGTGAAATCAGACGGCCATTGTAAAGTTCCAAAAAGTTTATAAATTAATTTAATACAAAGGCAAACTCTAATAAAAAATTTCATTGGTGAAATTAAGGCTGCAATACAAATAATTATCATGATAACAACAACAGAGTTACAAACAAACAATTCTCAAATGGTCACGACTTTCGTTCGGAGTGAAATGAGCAAATCCCTTTTCAATCAATCAATCAATCAATCAATCAATCAATCAATCAATCAATCAATCAATCAATGACTGTATCCAATTTGTAGTTATTGCATGAATACTGTCTTAATTTTAATATTTGTTTTGTTTTTTACCTTCTTATTTTCTCGATCATTTATACCGAAGTAACTACATGTATTTACCATTGTTTTACGTGGTGAAAGACATTTGTGTTCTTATGAACTGATTTTTACACCACCTACCGAGTTTGGGAGTATAATGAATATATTGGCCTGTTTGAAGTGAGCTTTTATTCTCACGGCTGTCTATTGGTATATCGAGAGAAATGATCGTGAAAGAATACCTTACGGTGGTCAAGCATTGCGATCGGATCCTGAAAGATCTAGTATAGGATCGTGAATGTAATTACTTGAAATTCTAATTCAAAATCTGTGAAAAATCTGTTGTATTTTAAAAATGCGGAACAAGTCCTTAAAAAATAATGTATGTCAAAATGATTCAACTTTCTCAATAAAACTGTGCAATAAGATAAATAAAATATGCTGTACTTTATGTGAAAACACAAAAGGCGCTACACAAAATGAAGTCTATGGGATTTATTAAAAAAAGAACACGTGTTGTACATATAATGATTATATAATGATATATTTGAAACTTAATCTTTGGTGTGACTGATAATACAGTAAAATAAAAGTTTTTTTTCATTGAAACCGTTCCTAGCTTTAAGTTGGTCTTGAGCTTCTTAAAACACGCCGTAAAGTTCATAGACTTAGTACATATCTGTACAAAATAAAAAATCATCTTGTCCCAGATTATCTATGTAATTTTCATCCATTATTCAATCATAACATCGTCCTGAACATGCATGAAATATTTGCCACTGAACGTTAAGCAACCAACAATCAATCAAATGTAACACCGAAAACTATAACTTTAGACGACATGCCAACTTGATACTTATCAGGTCAAGAACAGTAGCATACTATAATTATTTTCTTCTAGCTACGATTAGAGACTGGAAGAGCTTGTCAACTGAACTAATTTCAGCAACATCTTTGGCGAGTTTCAAAAGGTTGTGTACGATGGAATTACTTTCCGTATAGACAGAAAACCTAAGTCAGGGGGTATTTCATAGAGATGCATCGTAAATAATTGCAAAGGTATTTCACCGGATCCCCATTTTCCTCTAAGTCTTTGGGCATGTAACACTTAATAAATGTAAGAACCATTTGAATCATTAAAATGAAATTACAATTTTCAAAGAAAAAGTTGTTTAGTCATTCGAATTATTAAAAAACATTTAGTTTGTTTACATATTTAGAGTGCATTTCCTTCTAACACAAACGATACAAACGGCTAAGCGCGCACATGTTTTGATCGTTTGTTTCTAACATACGTTTGCAAAGTTTACATAAACTTTGACAAACTATGCACTCGCTAAAAGTGCGTCTACAGTTTGTCGTTCATCGTTTGTTTGTACGAATGCTACATTTGTTTCTAACTACAACCTTGAATATAAGTAAAATTATAAGAAAACATTGGAACAATCTGCAAAAAGACAAACAATGCAGTGAAATCGTCGCCCTAGTGCCTATCATATCGTATAAATGTAACAAAAATATAAAAGAATAACTTTCTAAATCAAGGCAATAGTTGGGAGACTTTTGAAAAGGAACCAATGCTTTAACAGTCTAAGCAAAAAATCCCGAAACACTGTTAGTAATAATCTTAATTATAGGCAACAAACTTTCATACATATGAAATAGAAAAAACGATGTAGTCTTGAGATTTATTATTTTATTGGTTGAAGGAACCGCATTTAATTATAGCCGCGTAATAAGTCTTTTTACCAACAACATGTGCATGCATTATTGGAATTTCAAAACAGGGTCAGTAAACACTGATTTTATTTCGTTGTAACACTTCGGGACCAAATGAGATTGTGCTGCGCATGTGTGAACTTTCAGTGTGCTGATAGTTCTTGGGCAGTTCGGACGTGGTTTGAATTGTCCTAACTTCAATTTAAATTGAATCAACGAAGTTGATTTACATTTTATTATTAATAAAATTTGATATTTAAATAAATAAAAGTTAGTATTTACCGGACGTAATTCGGTAAAAATTTATGACTTTTACCTGTTTTCGGCATATTGCCGTAAACCGGTTATTCAAGAAAACATGGCAGAGAAAATGATTGAAAAGGGGTCCGCCGCAAGAAAAGAAAGTCTTCGCATGAAGACATAACTGATGAAGATGAACTTCTTCTTTCAGAACAGGTTCCTTCCGTTTCCAGCGCGGCTGGAAAAAGGAAATATGACTCTGAAAAGTCAAAGGCTACCGCGAGTGGCGGAGCCAACACTTCAAGTGTAAAAGGTAAAAAATCAGCGAAGCAGGTTATTGAAACTCAAACCCCTGGCCTCTCTACTTCTGGCTCAAATGAAGAAAATCACGATGCAATCATGACAATGTTGAAATCCATTCAAGATGGTCAGAAAAAACAGTCTGACGATATCAGGTCTTTAAAAGACCGTGTACAAGAGATTGAGGAATGTGATGAGGGGAATTATAATTATGATGATAATTATGATGAAGGTGAAGAAAATCCCCATGATGATGGGGAAAATGTAGAAATTGAAAGTGAAACACCTGCAAAGAAGCAGAAAAAAGATGATAGTAGGTTCTCTTCTATGTCTAAGAGATGAAGGGTTCAAGAATTTTGTGATGACAAAATCGATGAGGTCTTGGCAAATAACGTCAATGAGTTGTTCAGGAATGGTATGAATAAGGAGCAGTACTATGATTTAACAAAAGATGAGAACAATACCAGACCTGAAAATTGTGAAGGTTTGTCGGTTGTAAGAATGAACCAGTTCATATGGAATATAATTTCACCAGGAGCACAAACTGCCGAAAAAAATATTACAATTTCTTGAAAAAACTATTGTAAAAGCAGCAACAATTCTAACAAAAACTGTCAACAAAATGGCTCTTGATGAAAACAACAATGATAACTCCGGTGGCGGAGAATACCTTGACAAATGTAATGACGTATTGGCTTTGTTGGGCCATGCAAACCGTCAAGTAAACATGACAAGAAGGGATTTTTTAAAGCCCGAAATGATAGCAGAATATGTGCAACTGTGCTCTCACTCTGTTCCTTACACAAACAACTTTTTTGGAGACGACGTCTCCAATGTTTCTAAGGACATTGAAGATTGTTCCAAGGTGGGAAACAAGTTGAAGTTTGGAAATGGCAGAGGCGGAGGCTTCTACAGAGGTGGTAGAGGAGGCCATAGAGGAAGCAGAGGTGGCTACCGTGGAGGAAGAGGTGGCTTCCGAGGAGGAAGAGGTCGAGGTTCCGGCCCTGTTCCAAAAAACTCCCAGAGAGGAGGAAATCCACAAAAGTATTAGATACATCAAATGAAGTAAGTCATTGTTTTAAAGCTGCTGTATTGAAAAAGTTATCCAATGAATGGGAAAAAATTACCTCTGACAAATTTATTTTAGACATAGTAAGCCATTGTCATATAGAGTTCATAGATAACCTAAGCAAGACAATTTCAATGTAAAATCCGTCTTTAACTCAAAAGAAAGTGATAATGTTTCAAATGAAATTCAAAAGTTACTGGCAATTGATGTTATCAAAAAGTTCAGTCAATGAAAAACCAGTTTCTATCGCCTATATTTTTTAAGGCCAAAAAAGAATGAAGAATATAGAATGATTTCGAATCTTAAAAAGTTAAATGAATACATTGAGTATCATCATTTTAAAATGGACACTTTTGAAAGTGCCATTAAACTTGTAACTAACAAATCATATATGGCTTCTATTGATTTGAGACTATACTATAGTGTTTCAATTGCAGAGGAACATCAAAAGTTTTTACGGTTTTATTGGAACGGAAAACTTTTTCAATACACATGCTTACCAAATGGGATTTCCTGCTCACCTAGAATATTTACTAAATTATTAAAACCTGTATACTCTAGTCTACTGGCAATTGATGTTATCAAAAAGTTCAGTCAATGAAAAACCAGTTTCTATCGCCTATATTTTTTAAGGCCAAAAAAGAATGAAGAATATAGAATGATTTCGAATCTTAAAAAGTTAAATGAATACATTGAGTATCATCATTTTAAAATGGACACTTTTGAAAGTGCCATTAAACTTGTAACTAACAAATCATATATGGCTTCTATTGATTTGAGACTATACTATAGTGTTTCAATTGCAGAGGAACATCAAAAGTTTTTACGGTTTTATTGGAACGGAAAACTTTTTCAATACACATGCTTACCAAATGGGATTTCCTGCTCACCTAGAATATTTACTAAATTATTAAAACCTGTATACTCTAGTCTTAGAGTTTTAGGTCATGTGAATGTTGGTTACATAGACGATAGTCTTTTATTAGGAGAGACTGTAGAAGAATGCAATCAAAATGTAAATGACACAATTGAATTAATGTCAAAATTAGGATTTGTCATACATAAAGACAAATCTGTTTTTCAACCATCAAAACAAATTATATTCTTGGGTAACATTATTGATTCAGAAAATATGATTATAACTCTTACTGAAGACAAAAAACAAAACCTAGTAAAAGAATGTAAATGGTTACTGCAGAGAAACTTAGCTAAAATTAGAGATGCAGCAAAAGTTATTAGACTTATAGTACCCTCTTTGTCTGCAGTTGAATTCGGTAAATTGTTTTATCGTAATCTTGAAAGGGAAAAAATTATAGCATTAAAAAACTCAAAAGGAGATTTTGAACAAAGCATGCTTATTTCAAATCCGATGAAAGGAGATTTAGAATGGTGGGTTGCTAATGTGTCAACTGAAGTAAGACAAATAAGTCACAACAGTCCACAAATTGTGATTTAGACAGATGCCTCATTATTAGGATGGGGTGGCATATTAAGTGATAACGAAATTGGAGGTAGATGGACAGATGAAGAATCTAAAAATCATTATTATTTAGAAATATTAGCTATATATTTTACATTAAAATTCTTTCTCATCTGATCAGAAATAAGCATGTTAAGTTTCTTACAGACAATACTACGGCATTGGCCTACATATCAAATATAGGCGGCACAAAGTCCATAGATTGCAATACAATTTCAAAACAGATTTGGTTGTTTTGTAAAGATAATGATATCTGGTTGACATGCACTCATATAGCAGGCAAAGAAAATCTAGCGGACAAAAAATCTAGAGAATTTGATGACAAATTAGAATGGAAATTGGATAGGTCTGTTTTTGACCAATTATGTACTTTGTGGCAAAGGCAAGACATTGATTTGTTTGCATCTAGATTACATTTCCAATTAGGAAATTACTGTTCTTGATGACCAGATCCATTATCTGTATTCATTAATGCATTTAGTATAAATTGGTCCAATGTTCAGTTTGTCTATTTGTTTCCTCCTTTCAGTTTATTGAGCCGGTGCATTTTCAAAATCAGAGAAGACGGTGCAAGAGGAATAGTAATAGCTCAATGTTGGCAGACACAAACTTGGTTCCCGAGACTTATGCAGTTGTAAACAGACAATCCAATCGTTCTTTCAAAGAGCAAGAAAATTTTGAGTCTTCCTCACGATCCGCAGTCTGTTCATCCTTTACACAAGAAAATGAAACGAATTGCATGTCAAGTGTCAGGAGTAGCTTCAGAGAACGAGATTTTCTAATGAAACAACCCACATACTCATGTCGTCTTGGAAATCAAGTACAAAGAAACTGTAACAAAAAACAAATTAATTACTTTCGAATTTCTGTAGGAACAGTGCTTGAATTTTTGCTTTATTTAAGAAAGGTAATCTTGGTTATAGTAGTTTAAATCTGGCTCGAGGAGCACTTTCGTCTTTAGGACTTACTATTGACAGCATTCCAGTTGGACGTCATTCAATGGTGATACGATACATGAAAGGAATTTTTAATCTTCGTCCACCCAGACCTAGATATAAATCTACATGGGACGTTAGTGAAGTAGTTCAATTTTTGCGTAGCCTATCACCAGTGAAATTTTTAAAATTGAAAGATTTAACATTAAAATTTACTATGTTAATAGCTTTGACAAATGCAGCTCGAGCTCAATCAATTCATTTAATGAATATTAATCATGTACATAAAGTGAAGGGAGAATTTATTTTTGTTTTGAATGAATTTATTTAACAAAGCCGACCTGGTTATAAGGAGCCAACTGTAAATATAAAGGCTTACCCTCCAGATAGGAGACTTTGTGTATATACTGTGTATAAAGAATATGTATTTCGTACCAAATTGTTTAGAGGGAAACATTAACCGTTACTTTTAAGTTATGTGAAACCACATCAGCCTGTTTCAAGAGATACAATTTGTAGATGGATAAAAATAGTAATGGCAAAAGCTAATATTGACACAACAATTTTCAAAGCTCACAGTGTTAGATCAGCATCAGTTTCTAAAGCAAAGATGAATGCAGTACCTATTTCTCGTATTTTACAAAAAGCAGGATGGTCAGATGCAAAAACATTTGCGAAATTTTATAATAAAAAGATTGAAAAAGATGAAAATTCTTTCAGCTTTATTGTGTTGAAGAATTAATCAGAAGGTAAGACATTATATAATTCTTATCCTTAGTATTCAGTTTTATCATTATGGCTTTAAAGTCGCATTTGGTCCCGGAAGTGTTACAACGAAATAAAATATAACAATTGAACGAGTATTACCTTGGTAAAAGGCGAAGTTTAATTGTAATTCTATGAGTTGTGTAAACACTGAAGGGATTAAATGCCACACCCTCCCTCCCTAGTTAACGGAGACCATTATGTAGCTATTGTGGTTTACATATAAAATTGAGAATGGAAATGGGGAATGTGTCAAAGAGACAACAACCCGACCACAGAACAGACAACAGCAGAAGGCCACCAATAGGTCTTCAATGCAGCGAGAAATTCCCGCACCCGGAGGCGTCCTTCAGCTGGCCCCTAAACAAATATATATACTAGTTCAGTGATAATGAACGCCATACTAAACTCCAAATTGTACACAAGAAACTAAAATTAAAAATAATACAAGACTAACAAAGGCTAGAGGCTCCTGACCTGATATGTATATATTTCGTTGTATGTCATACTGATAAAACTTTACTTTGAAGACTGAAGTTCACACATGCGCAACACAATCTCATTTAATCCCTTCAGTGTTTACACAACTCATAAAATTACAATTAAATTTCGCCTTTAACCAAGGTAAGACTCGTTTAATTGTTAAATTAAACGATTTATTTGTTTCTACTTTTGTAGCGTTTAGCAAACGATAACAAACGCCACACAACGTTTACAAAACCAGGCACAAGAAAATGAAAGAAGAGTGACGCTACAGTACCAACAGGTGAAATGCACTGCTGTTTTCCCCCGCCTAACCCTCCTGATAAAGATAAAACCAGAAAAGTGCTTTAGACGCAATAAATTAATAAAACGTTTACATTTTGTCACCAGGAAGCAAAGAAGTTAAGTAATCATATGCTGACAAATTATTGAATTGAAGCTCACGTTTTATTTGATAGTCATTAAAGTAAAGAGAAAAAGTATGATTATTAAAAACAATCTATTGGAGACAAAAAACGTCGGTATATGCAACTAACTACTAGTATGGGGGTCTGGATTAGGGTCATTCATTTCTGTATTCTTTAAAGTTTTAGGCCATTTTTTTCTAATCATTATACTTTTTGCCAGTTATTCTCTATTCTTTATATTCTAACACTGCATTATTTTCTTTTCTTTATTTTTTGGCCCATTTTGCCTATTCTTTATATTTCCACCCATTATTCTCTATTCCGTAACCCCCCCCTTCCACACCCTCTAGTATATGTCACCATATAGCCTTCACAAATGAGTCAAAGTCATTACGAATAGGCCCCAAATGGCAAAATGATTTAATGCTAATCACCATTTTGAATTGTAAACTTTCGGAAATTTTTTTCAATCAAACGATCTTAATAATAAAAAATCAAAGTACTGAAGTACTGAACATCGGATGACCGCAAGTTCTTGTGGATGGTCAAAAGCACATGTCGCAGAAAAAGATCTCATCTCTATACCTGAAACTGAGGATAATGTACAGATATATTTTTTTTCTGAGACAAGTTCGTGCGTGGATGATGAATAACTGACAGGAAATTCAACCACACCGTAATAACTATTATATTGTAGTGATACAAATCAGTATACCTGGGACTATTATACTAATATAATAATAGTCCCAGAGTATGTATACACTGGTTTGTTGTTATATATTATATTAATATAACAGTTACATGTATATGTAATTTTCATCCATTTGTATATCATTCTATTGTACTATTCTAATAATAGTGCAGTGCAAGTGCATCGTGGACCCATGGTAAAAAATCCATTTTTCTAAAAGA